ACAATTTGTCTGATCAAGGTCTTGTTTATTTGTAATTTTTACACAACGTTATAGGGAGAATGCAGAAAGGTGGAAGGATAGTTGATTGCTGCAGGAGATAGGAAAGTGGTTTATGGTTCAAGATACTGCACCTGCAAGATACCGTAAGAATGTTTCCTTAAGATATCTCAAGGATGCTCCAAGCCTAACGAGCAGATGTTCTCACATAAATCTATCACCCATAACCTTAGGTCTTAGTGTAGCTGTTGGTAACTTTGGCAGCTGTTGGCTTTGGCTCCACTAAATGACTTTGGCTACACTAATTGGCTTTGGCTCCTGGCAATTGATATTGAAAGATATTAATGACCAGTTCCTGTTACTTCCTCTTATTTTAATGTTGGTAGTAGTAGAGTGTGGGTGATTCCATTCTTTTGGTTTTGCTGATGTGGGGTTATTTATTTCCTATGTTTTCCTAGGTATGGTTGGCCTCTTTGTGTTAAGAGTTTTCCTGCTAGTATCTTCTGTAGGGCTGGATATGTGGATAGGTACTGTTCAAATTTGTTTTTGTTATGGAATATCTTGTTTTGTCCCTCTATGGTGATTAAAAGTTTTGCTGAGTATAGTAGTTGGGGCTGACATCTATGGTCTCTTAGTGTCTGTAAGATATCTGTCCAGGCATTCTGGCTTTTAGTTTCTGATGAGAGTTCAGGTGTAATTATGATAGGTTTGCCTTTATATGTGACTTGGCCTTTTTCTCTTATTCTCTCTTTGTTCTGCCCATTTAATTATTATGTAGCAGGGGTGATTTTCTTTTTTCTTTTCTGGTTCAATCTATTTGGTGTTATGTAAGCTTCCTATATGTTTATAGGCCTGTCTTTCTTTGGGTTGGGGAAGTTTTCTTCTATGATTTTTTTTGAAAATATTTTCTGGTCCTTGAAGGCCGGAAGTCGTCTTCTTCTATTCCTATTATTCTTAGGTTTGGTCTTTTTATAGTGTGCCAGATTTCTTGAATGGTCTGTGTCAGGAGCGTTTTAGACTTAACATTTTCTTTGATACATCAATTTCTTCAGTCCCCTGAGATTCTTTCTTCCATCTCTTGTATTTTGTTGGTGATGTTTGTGTCTATACTCCCTGTCCTCTTCCCTAGGTTTTCCATTTCCAGGATTGTCTCAGAGTGTGTGTTTTCCTTATTGCTTCTAGCTCCATTTTTAGGTCTTTAACAGTTTTATTTATTTCCTTCTCCTGTTTGATTGTAGTTTTCTGTATTTCTTTAATTTCTTTAAGGGATTTGGTCAGTTCTTTCATCTGTTTGAATGTATGTTCCTGTGATATTTTGGGAGGTTTATTTTCTTCCTTGAATGCCTCTATCATTTTCATAACTTCAGATTTTAAATATTTTTCTTGCTCTTTGGGTGTCATAGTATCTCCAGCACTTACTGTGGTAAGACCACTGGTTTCCGGAGGTGCCCTATGACTTTGAGTTTTGTTGCTTGTGTTAACACTGGCCTCTAGTCATCTGGTTGACTCTGATGTTCACTGCCCTTGTGGTCCCAACTCTGGGCTAACTGGCTTTATTCTAGCTGAGCCAGGCAGGTGGGGAGCAGGCGAGAAAACCTCTAGCTGAGAACTGCTTGGGTGCCTCACAGGCCTCCCCAGCATGGCGGAAAATGAGCTTTAGTCCTGTACCAAACTCACCTTCAGTAGATTCACTGTCACTGCTAGGCTTCCTGTTTCTGACCCATGTGAGCCAGGCAGCTGAGGTGCTGGCAGAAAGACCTTTGAGCTGAAAGGTGCTCAGTAGCTCCCCAGGTCTCCTCAGGATGGGGAGACAATTCTTAGTTTTCTACTAATGTAACCCTTTAACATAGTTCAATCAGTAAGTCTCACCAGTTCTGTAACACACACATATTGGCTACTTTAGGACACAGTGACCTATGAGGATGTGCATGTGAACTTCACTCATGAAGAGTGGAGTTTGCTGGATCCTTCCCAGAAGAGTCTCTACAGAGATGTGATGCTGGAGACCTACTGGAACCTCACTGCAATAGGTAAGAATGATAGTTTTCCTTCACTTTCTAAACAAGGGGACAAGCGTGTGTTGGTCGTTGGTGCACTTCTGTGATCTCTGTTGTGTAAGAGGAAGAATGTAGTGAATAATCAAGCATGGTTCTCAGGTTCACCAAAGATACTAACTTAAAATTTGCATAATTTACAATAATAGATGATAAGTTTTCTGGTGCCATCTTTTAGGTTACAAATTGGAAGACCAGAATATTGAAGAATACTGTCAAAGTTCCAGAAGACATGGAAGGTAAATTTTACATGCACACTGGTACAGATGTGTCACTGAAGAGTTTTTCAATGGGCCCTGCAGTTTTAAAGAAAACCAACATTGTAAACAAGCACAGCCCAGTTTTATGTATATTGATGATTGTTAAATTCTCACAAAACTGTGTACATGAATTTCAGGTAGCTGACCTGTGTTTGCAAGGTATTCCTCTAAGAAGCAAGACAAGCAAACAATATTTAACATATTTTAGTCATAGCCGCAAGAGAGCCATGTTGAAGAACTTGTCAGTTCGTTTTATGCCATTCAGTTATCATGAAAGGCATACACATTGATTAGGGGATCCGTGTGTGTCCAAGATCTTTTGTAAGCATGTAGTAAAGCTATTGTTAACCCTGTACTTATAGTGACATTCCAAAGTTTAGTGAGAGGAACAGTTTGTGGGAGGCACGAATGTTGTTGCCATGGGGTAACCTTAATCTTTACAGCACATGTTTAAGGGAAACAAAAACTTAACTGTGAGTGCAGTGTGAAAGCCATTTGTTTGTCATTTCTCCTTTAATAGCTACAACATCTGTCACTGTGGATACAAGCCTTGTGAGCATAAAGGATATGGAAAGAAGCAGTGTGCCTTTACACAGAATAGTTTTTTTCAAATATATGACAGAATCCATAGTGAAGAAAAACCCTATGAATGTAATCAATGCAGAAAAATCTTTGCAAATTTCCGTAGTCTTCGAAAACATGAAAAAAATCATACTAGAGAAAAACCCTATGAATGTAATCACTGTGGCAAAGCTTTTCCAAGTCGCAGTTCTCTTCAGATACACATAAGAACTCATACGGGAGAGAAACCGTTTGATTGCCACGAATGTGGTAAATCCTTTGCATGTAGCAGTCATCTTCAAATACACAAAAGGACTCATACAGGAGAGAAACCCTATGTTTGCAATGAATGTGGTAAAGCGTTTGCACGTGTCAGTAATCTTCAAATACACAAAAGAAGTCATACAGGAGAGAAACCCTATGATTGCAATGAATGTGGTAAAGCCTTTGCATGTCGCAGTCATCTTCAGATACACAAAAGAACTCACACTGGAGAGAAACCCTATGATTGCAAGGAATGTGGTAAAGCCTTTGCAACTCGCTGTCGTCTTCAAAAACATGAAAGAACTCACACTGGAGAGAAACCTTATCAATGTAATCAGTGTGGTAAAGCCTTTACAGGCCGTAGTCATCTTCAAATACATGAAAGAAGTCACACTGGAGTGAAACCCTATGAATGTTCTCAATGTGGTAAAGCCTTTGCATATAACAGTGATCTTCACAGGCATGAAATAATTCATACTGGAGAGAAACCCTATGGATGTAATCAGTGTGGTAAAGCCTTTGCAAGTCGTAGTAGTCTTCGAAATCATGAAGAACATCATACTCTTGAGAAACCCTATGAATGTACCCACTGTGGTAAAGCCTTTGCATATTGCAGTAATCTTTATATACATGAAAGAATTCATACCGGAGAGAGGCCCTATAAATGTAATCAATGTGGTAAAGCCTTTGCACGTCCCAGTCATCTTCATATTCATGAAAGAATTCATGCTGGAGAGAAACCCCATGAGTGTAGTCAATGTGGAAAAGCATTTTTATTTCGCAGTAGTCTTCAAATACATGAAAGAACTCACACTGGAGATAAACCTTATAATTGTACTCAATGTGGTAAAGCCTTTGCACGCCGCAGTCTTCTTCAAATACATGAAAGAAGTCATAGTGGAGAGAAACCTTATGTGTGTAATCATTGCAGTAAAGCCTTTGTGTGTCGCAGCAGTCTTCAAATACATGAGCGATCTCACACTGGTGAGAAACCTTATGAATGTAATCAGTGTGGTAAAGCCTTTACACGTCGCAGTCTTCTTCAAATTCATGAAAGAAGTCATAGTGGAGAAAAACCCTATGGATGTAATCAGTGTGATAAAGCTTTTGCACGTCGCAGTCTTCTTCAAATTCATGAAAGAAGTCACAGTGGAGAGAAACCTTATGAATGTAATCATTGCAGTAAAGCCTTTGCAAGTCGTAGTAGTCTTCGAAATCATGAAAAACATCATACTGTTGAGAAACCTAATGAATGTACTCAGTGTGGTAAGTCACTTGCATGTTGCAGTCATTTACATGAAAAAGGTCAGACTGCAAAGAAACTCTATAAATGTACTCAATGTAGTAAAGCCTTTGCATCTTGGAGTAGTCTTCATAATCATAAAAAATGTCATACTGGAGAGATATCCTGTGGATGTAATTGAGGCTGCAAACTTTTGGCACATCACTGTAATCTTCAAACATATCAAAGATGTGCTTGAGAGAAGCGCTACTAATATATAGTCAATGTGATAGTGTCTCTACATATTACAGGCTTATTCAAAGGCATGTAAGCATTCCTACTAGAGAGAAGCACCATGAATCTAATAAATACAGGAAAGCCTTGCACAGCAAACAATTTTTCTCACTGAACCATCTCAGTGTTGTTCATGCAAGATTAGTAGAACCAGTTTGTCATTAAAATACTGTCTTGTTTTCAAATTGTATACAAAATGTTATCCAAGGAGAGAGGAACACAGTAATTTGAATAATAAACCTGTTTTAAAATGAAAATGATATTTATACTGCCATCCATTTTTATGGGTTATGTTTTTTCTGAGGAATAAATTCTTGTTCTTAACACTGGCTCAGAAACACAGCTGAATACCAGAGAATGGTCTCAGTGTGTAAAGTTGGTTGGTTGCTGCTAAGCTGATGACCTATGTTTATTCTCAGGGGGATCCACATTACTCATGCAAGATTTGTTTTCTGATTATTATGTGTACTACTGGTTTTAAGGTATATCATACTAATATAATAGGTCAAGCAATATTTAGAGGTTTCTGATATCAAGATCCTGGTGCCTCAATTATGGGAACATGGTCATTTGCAAAGAAAATCTGAACAATCTCAGTCTCAAAATGGCTGGTGCATTAACTGTGAGAAATACAGTACTTTGTTTTGCACTGGAAAAGTGAATGAGGCATCTCTAAGGGTCTTCTAATATAAACCAGAATGATGGCCAAGGCTTCCAGTGGTGTGTAGGCAATGTGGCAAGGGTTGCTGTTGGACCGGTTAATGTAGATTCAAGATAGGTATCCAAGACAGTATTACCCACAAATGCATAAAAAAAAACAACCATATAGAGTTCTTCTCCTGATGTTAGGTAATGACAAGGTTCTTGCTCTTAGCAGAACTAAAAATCTTCACACGCCAATGCCAAAGCATTAGGATGAAATGAATTCTGAGTCCACAGTTAAAACAGGCCGGACTCCTTCCATTCCCATTCCATATATCTGTTCATTTATGTTCATGCAGGATATCACATTATAGCCTAAATTGGCCTGATTTGCAATATCCCTCTGACTAGCCTGGAACTCATGAAATCCTCCTGCATCAGTATTCTAAGTAGTGAGTTTGCATGAGTGAGACAAGATGCCCAGTTTCTGTCTCCTTAAAACAACTGAAGAGATGGGGCTGAAGAGACGGCTCAGCAGTGAAGAGCAGTGCCTATTCTTCCAAGGGACCTGAGTCCAGTACCCATTTAGCAGCTCACAACTCTATAATTGCAGTTCTAGGCGATCTGACCTACACACACACATACATGGAGGCAAAACAGCAATGTACATAAATTTTTCTTTAGAAAAATATATTTTTTTAAATAACAGACTAATTGCCTGAGGGATGGGTGCTGAGTGAAGTTGCAAGAACTGTCACCGTGGTGCACTCTCCTTCCTGCCCCAGCCTGTGGCTTTTTTAAGGTACCACAATAGGAGCTGTCAAAATGTTGGCACCTTGGCCTCCTGCTGTTTTGAGGTGCTGCCATAGGAGTTGCCCATGGTGGCAGCACCTACTTTCCTGCCTCAGCCTGCAGCCATAGTGAGATAGCACTGCTGGACACCTCCCTATCTATACAGTGGTAGTGCTGCAGCCAAGAAGGTCTTTCTATCTTACCTTAACCATGGTTCCAATATAGGAAAAAGGGTGTGAATAAAAGCCACAAATCCCTGAGCAGTTAAACCCCCCCCCCCAGTAATCCCTGAGCTTCCCACAAGCCCCGAGTAATCCCAGAGCTCACCAAATTTAGGATTCAAAATTACACGAATTCTCTGTCTGGAACTTTCTGCCCTGAAAAGCCCAGCTTCCTAAGAAGTCCTGGATAAGCATTGCTCTTTGTTTACTTCCCAGCTGTCCTCTTCCAGGAACAGAGGCAGCCAACCCTAGATACATCTCTCTACACCCTGGACCCTCCCAATAAATCTCATATTTGCTGCTTGTTGTGACTCTCTTCTTGGAAGAAGCCAATAAGCAATGAAGAGAAGAAGTGAAGAAGTGGAACAGGGCTGAGGCTTCTGAGCTCCTTGGCTCAGCTGGGAATACCCTCCCCTGGGAGCTCACTGCTTCTGCTGAGGAGGCTTTTTCTCAGAGCTGTGTGTTTCCTAAGCTTCCGTACATCAGGATGCTCTTCCACTGAGACACAATTCCACCTCAGGGATGTGTGGTTCCTGAGTTCCCATGTTTCAGAATGTTCTTCCATTGGGACACTGTCCCACCTCAGAGGTTTGTGGTTCCTGACCTCCTGTGTCTTAGGATGCATGTCCATTGGGATACCTTCTCTCCTAAGAGCTGTGGTTCTTGGACTTCTGAGCCTTGCGATAGCTTTCCATGCAAGCAGGAAGACCAACAAAGACCACTTCTAGATCTTATAATGTATAAGACCCAGAATGTCATTGACAAATTCATCATGAACCCCTATTTTGTTTTATTGATAAATGATTATTGGCCAGAAAGGGAGGGAGTTGGAACGGGAATAGTATAATCCTCAAACTGCTTCCTGCTTATCTGGGGTATTATGCTTCTTGAAGCAAGTCTGAGCATCACTGTCGGGTATAATTTTGTGTTGCAGGCCTCTGGATCTGTGGTTAAGGGCTGGTGATCTGGTAATAACAACAAATTAAAGTCTGATTAGGAATCTTTTGAATTTGTTGAAAGAAATCTCGATAAGTTTAAGAGGCTGGTGCAACTAGAACGATTACAAAGAGAGCCAAGGGACTGGAGAGATGGCTCAGCTGTTAAAGGCTAGGCTCACAACCATAAATATAAGAAGAGAGCTGGGCACGGTGCCGTGCACTTGTAATCCCAGCACTTGGGCAGGCAGAAACAGACCTATCTCTGTGAGTTCAAGGCCAGCCTGGTGTACAACCAAGAGTGCACAAGGAAGAGAAAAAGGTCACCTCTCTCAGCTGTTAGTAAATCTAGTGGATATGTGCAGTTTAAGATCTGAAACGATATGTTAAGGCAGGAAAGGGAGATGTTTTCTAAAATAGATTGGTATCAAGAATGTGAGGAGCTCTGGACCACACCTTGTACCATGTCCCTATATCTAGGGATTGAGAGAATGGGATGTGTACGCTCTGTGTTTTGACTGTGTGTGATGGGCAGCTGTGGCAAATGCTATAGTAAAGTTTAACAATGACCCCCATCTCCCATTTGTGGTGCCATGGGTCCTTAACAAAGGATCTGTACATTCTTTAAAAGAGTCATGTCAGTAACTGCAGTGAATTTAAAATGTTGGGCATAGCTGAAAGGGCTGGTGATCTGGTAATAGGTAAGTGTAGAGTCCTCTACTGATCCTACCTGAAGAGAGAGAGAACTCTGGAAGCGGTAGTGTTGGGGACCCTTGTATGTTAAGTGACATAGTCTACATAGTGAAAAGAGAAGACTGTAATAGTCGGCTGGAAGGTTAAGCCTTTTGATTTGAATATCAGAAATTTAGGTGCAGCTCACAGACAAGGAGTCCATCCTTGGTTAATATGGTCCAATTTTTAAATTGGGTGTCCAGCTCGACCTTAGAAGGTGAGACCCTATATCTCTGGCTGGACAGGGAGAGGTGTCTGCCTGGCTAATTTTCAAGGATGGAATACAAAGATCATCTATATATTGAGTAAAGTTGGATTTGGGAAGAAGCAGAGAGTAAGAAGCCAGAGCCTGTCCAAATAAATGTGGGCTATCCCAGAATCCTGGAGTAGGAGATTCAAATGAGTTGGGAAGATATGTGTTTCTGAGTTGGTCCATATGAAGGCAAAGATATTTTGTGGCTGTGGGTCAATAGAAATAAAAAGAAGGCATCCTTGAGGTCTAAAACAGAGAAATGAGTACTCTCTGGGCGGATGGTAGGAAGGAGAGCATAGGGGCTGGGTGCTACAAAGTGAGAAGGAACTACTGATAAACTGATAAGTTGGAGATCCTGAACCAAGTGATAGCTTACATTGGGTTATTTCATGGAGGTAGAAGTGGGATGCAGAAGAGCCTTTCCTAAGGTCAGAGGTCAGAGTCTTAAGTCCCCTGAGGTTTTGGAGAGGACATGTGTATTGAGGGTGGATTATATATTTGGTTGGGTTTTGTAATTAAATGATGAGCGAGGGTGGGAGTGGGATGTTTGGCTAGAGAGGAAATTTTGAGTGTCCCATACCTGGGATCTACCTGAAAGGCTGGTGAGGGAAAAGATGTGTCACAGTCTTTAGTTTGGAGGAGGAGTGGGGAACAATTGGTCAAGTGGGTGAGCGGAGCAAAAAAATAGAATCTCCCATTTTGTCTAGAAGGTTCCTTCTCAGCAAGGAGATGGGAGGGACAGATTGGTACTACTAGGAAAGAATGGGTAAGGGGTGGGTAGCCCTACATATCCAGCTAAGTGGTGGGGTTTGGTGAGCCTGGTAATGATGTAAATAGGGAAACAGGAAGAAGAGGTGGGTCCCCTCAACTCCATCAGGACTGAGTAGGTGGCCACAGGATCCTAAAGGAAAGAGACAGATCACCCTGATACTGTCAGAGATGACAGTGGTCAGGCTATGGGAGCCTAGGCCCCATCAGTCATCCATAGCCAGAACAAGGAAGTTTGGCTGAAGGATGACCTAAGTTTGATGTCCCCATGTCAGAAGAGGCATGTGGGCAGTCAACAACCCAGTGTCCTTTTGATGGCCCCTTGGACATGGTTTGGGTGGTTTACAAGGATTTGGATCAGCCCAAGCCCAGTAACCCTCTGACCATATTTGAAACAATAATGTGGAGGTTCTTGAGCTTTGGGCAGCCAGGAAGCCTGGGCTTTTGCTTTGGCTGTCTGAGAAGCCTTAGCCATCATTACATATTTTTGTTTTGGGACTTTTTCATCTCTCCCATTGTATTCCTTGAAGACCATGGCTAAGTTTTCTGCCTTTCTTTAGATGTTTATGTTTTGGCCCTAATATCTAGGAAAAGAAATAGCTCAAAGGAGTGGTTTTCCAACTGGGCTCATAGGGTGTAAATTCATATATTGCTGCGCCTTTGTAAGGAGGTCTAGGAATTGAAATGGATTTTCATATTTATCCTGTATGACCTCTTGGATTTTACATAATTTACTACCTTAAGGGCAATTTTGTGGAGAACGGCCAGGAGGCAAGTTATAAATTGATTCCTAGCTAGGATGCCCCCTGGGTTATTGTAATCCTTCTCAGGGTCCAGCCATGACTGGGTGGGCAGCCCATCACTGAGGAAGGGTAAAGAGAAACCAGAGAGGCTGAAGAGACAGAGAAGGG